CAAGTTATCAGTTATTACGCGAGGAACGAGCGTAATTACTTTCACATTAGTCATGTGATAGAAGGGGGAATGAGTGGTTTTGAAATGCCAAGCTAAAATGATTGGTTGTCGATGAAGCGCAAACGAAGGTAAGAACGAATTGGCGCCTGCCATTGGCCGGTCTACTCCGGATGCGGAATAACAATTCTCCGCTGATCCGTGAGCAACTCCCTCACGTGATATCAACACCAACTGCACCTTCTCCGGTTGCTGGAGTAAGGTAAGGAAGATTCTAAAAGTTAAGCCAGCTAAACGCGGCTGTTAAAAGCAGCTCCAGAAGCTGCCAAAAAGGCGGTTAAAATCGAGCTTTGCTAATCACAACTTTCTCAGGCTGCTGCAAGCCACCACGAAGCCTTCCCCTTCAACCACAACAATCACCTACAACAGTTGCAATTGAGATGAGGCTGTAGAGCGGATCTCTGGCTACAAGCTCCGTATATGGGCGGGCAATAATAATGGATAATGGTGCTGCAATTAGTGGTGTCGAAAAGGCGTATATAGCTGTCACGGAATCACTAGATGCAGTGTGTGAGATACAAGATGATTGTATTCAGCGGTGCTATCTATCTAATTGCGTGATGAGGTTCAATTCAAATAACAAAACGTTGCGTGAAGAGAGAAAGCAGAAGCAAGAGCAGGTCTGGTGTTCTCAGGGGGTGGTCGGGGGTCTCGGCGCAGCTCGGCCCGGATATCGGGATTCAGCCCGATATCAGAAATCCAGCTGCGTGTCAGGTGATCAGCTTGCCAATGATATGGTAAGCTCAGGCGTGTCAGTCCCGTGACAGGACCAGCAAGTGGAACGTGGTGTTGTAATCGCATGGTGTGATTGAGAATCTAAGGCTAAGGAGCAGAGGGAAGCTCTGCGGAGGGTGTATATATGCAAGTGCCAAGCACTGGTGTTCCAGGTGTCATGTGACCGCATCACGTGACCCAAACCGTGACATGGGATGTGTATCTTATGAAAGTTATTGAGACTCTGGATATATTTATATGTGCATAACCGATCATTATGATGCTGCCAAGAGTACGGTTGTGTCACGGGACTGACACGCCTGAGCTTACCATATCATTGGCAAGCTGATCACCTGACACGCAGCTGGATTTCTGATATCGGGCTGAATCCCGATATCCGGGCCGAGCTGCGCCGAGACCCCCGACCACCCCCTGAGAACACCAGACCTGCTCCTGCTTCTGCTTCTGCTTTCTCTCTTCACGCAACGTCTTGTTATTTGAATTGAACCTCATCACGCAATTAGATAGATAGCACCGCTGAATACAATCATCTTGTATCTCACACACTGCATCTAGTGATTCCGTGACAGGTTGACCGTTAGACACGGGGCTGTGAGAAGATAGTTGAGAGCTTGGTGATAGACTTTGTTGTCTTGTAAGTAATCTGTATTAAGCTGATCTTGCTTCGAATACTAGCTACATTCTCTCCGCAAGTAAGGTTCGCATTCATCTTCGAACCCGATCCACCTGAGACTGTCAAGTAGATACTTCTTATCGGCAAATGAAGACATCGAACACAGCAAGATATCAAGACAATCTGTTTCTGCATCTGTATGGAGAGCCATGCAGTGAGCGATGATAGAACGAACCCTTTTCAAGCACAGTCGCAACCATAAAATCCTTCACTAAAACTCGCCATTATGCCCAATGCGAACTCGAGTTCCTCCAATGGGAGTCTTCTCGATATCCACAGAGAAAAGATAGGGGTACGTCGGATCAGCGGGTACATGCTTGCTTGAGAGTCCGTAATCACTTTTCTTCTGTGCTCCGTTCTTGCCGGTCGCTCGCACAGACTTGCCAGCTCGCTCTAGATTTGCTAGTTTGGTATCGCGGCAGGACTGAGATGCACAGAACTTTTCCTTTGAGAAGTAGGCCACCGGCTGGGTTTTCACGAACCTTGGTTGGCTGTCTGTCGATTTCTCTTGGCATCTTCGGCACATAATTTCCAACTGCTTAGGCAGGCCCGGGTGCCCGAGAGGATACAACTTTTCGTGTGTCTTCGTTGGCGCCTCTCCAACAGCAAAGTCCCGGTCCAATTCTTCGATTCTCGCTCGCATCCATGGCAGTTCGGCGTCTTGCGGAATAAGCCATGACCACTTACCCACGCAAGACTCACTCTTGCAACGATTTGTCCTCGTAGCCACGTACCGGTTGATATCCTTGGACCAAAAGCCTGGGTCCGTGTCTGGGTCGAACTCTCGGTCGCATGTACCGCATTTGAGTGAAACTGAACTGAAGTCCAATCTTTTCACCACAAATTCGCCTAAAGTTGTGTAATTGCGCCGTCCACACTTTGCCTTAGTAACAGAGGAGAACAAATTAAGTATCATCCTCTTCAGCCCAAGATCAGACTCTTCGATCTCTTCAACAGTTGCTTGAAAGTACCGGCAATAGATGGCATACACATCCTCCGCAGTTTTTGCAACTAGACCGTGGAAGGTGGCGTGTTGGCTCTGAATCCAATCGATCATGGATTTTGGTACGCTGTCGAACTCCTGGGCCTCATTCAGTATTGCTGTTCCGGCGAACCACGCAGCAAGTCCAGATGACTCGGCCAGCAAAATCGCCTCAGGAGAGCCTTGGTCAAAAGAGAACACGTGGGGTTTAGATCGAAAACTTTCGATGGCAATTGTTGATATTTCCGTCGGGACAGCTGTTGCTTCAACATCGACCTTTGAAAGTCCGTTCTTGCTTGGCTGTGTGAAGTACCCGGTGATCTTGCCTTTCTTCTTCGGGTCCGTCTGCTCGACGTGAACACGCTTAGTAGAAGGCGTCACAGGGCGAATTGGTCCATATTTGGCAGGAGAGAAACCATCTCCAGAAAAAAAGCTGAGCGTTGCAGCGTCGATACGAGGCCTCAAGTTCATCGTTCGGGGTTTCGCAAAATTTTCAAACGACGTCTCGTTGACTACGAGGTTCACAAGTTTCGCTGCCATATTCAGGACTTGATCCTGTTGCTTAGCAAGTCGACAATCCACATGGTAGATGAAGGACTCGGGATGTAGAACAAACACAAGGATCCGGAGCAGGGTTCTGGGTGCCGCCTTGGTCCATTCTAGGTAAAATGCATCTGAGTTCGGTCCCCATATAGGCATCGGAGTCAGGTTGAGCATGGAGAAGGCACGCTGCTTGTTGGGAGCTCCCCAGATAGTTTCAACTTTCGCCGAGATGTTCCGGCGGATGGTCTCTGTCCAGGCTGCGTGGATGCCGACGGTCCGACTTCCATAATCGTCGATGGGATTGTAGATATCCTTGTCGCGCTGCTCTCGGCGCGCAAACTGATCGAAAAGAAAAGCCGTGTCCCTCGTAAATCCTTTCTCCAGGACCATGCGAATGCATATGTTGGAGTCGTCCAGGATGTCGTGATTCAGACTCAGTTTCGTCTTGTAGGGGGGATAATTCAAGTGGACCGAAATAGGGGCAGTGACGAAGCCGGCGGGAGCAACAAGATGGTTCTCCTTTCCCTTCTCCAGTCTTCCACTTTCGCGCTGACTCTCAATCTCTTCTTCGGCAAACTGCAGGAAGGACTTCTTCCAATCCCATTCTTCTGCTCCCTCGGCATTCAATCTCAGTGGAGGATCGGGCGGCGGTGCTGGAATTCGTAGTCGGCGGTAGCGATTTCCAAGTTTTAAATCGTACTCTTGATGGACTGAAGGCTGGTTAGCACTGAATCGAGGCAGCACGCGCACGTAGCATGTTCATAGGGAACTTGCAATCAAATGAGCTGGCATGCGCTGGGCCTTCCCGTTTCTCGAGCCTTTCAAGGTCGCCCCTGAGGAGTTGGAGCTCTATGTAAATCGCGACCTCGACATCGTCGGAGGGTGCGGGGAGCCACAGGCCACCGTAGACGTGTACGAGTTGCCTGGGAGACTCCATTGCTGCACTGGTGGGAGTGAGAGTGCAGGTGGAGTTGATTCTTCCATTGTGCGATAGATGTGTCGCCAACAAAAAGGGAAGTCGCGCAATGTGGAAGGCGTCTTCGGTAGCCCTCCCAGAATGAACGCCGCGACAGCACTTCAAGCGCAGGTATCCAGATCCAAGGATGCTCTGATAGCAATTCCATCTCCCCAAACAGACTCTGTTCTCTTCTAAGTGCTCAGACACTCTCAAGGTTCACCGTTTCCCGTCTGTCCACATATGAGGAGTTGGAACTTTCCGGGCTCATTCTTTCGTGCTTCGTCCATCAAGTCCCTGCGCACCCATGTACGAAACATGGGATGTACATCAAAGCAGAATCTCTCAAATCCAGCGGATTGGGTTGGTCAGGCGCTTGCGGCTGTGCGTTTTGTTGTACGGTGCATCGGCGGCTCCAGCCCTTTGATGGGCATGTACGGTTTTTGAGTACTATTTTAGAGATTTCTCTCTGGGGCCCACAAATTTTTCCCACCTGATGGAGGAATCTGTGAAGAATAGTGGCGCGTAACGTTCGGTTGTAATTCAGTTGCGGATGCGGTTCAAATAGAAAGGGGCGTTGCAGTTGTCTTGCGTCTTGATCTCATTAATAGGAGTGCAGAGTGTATGGGTCTTACTTATCTATACAAGACTCTCCAGCCTTGTTAATCCTGCTGTTTGAAAAGTCACGAGGCTGGAATCCTGCTCCCATGATATCCCACTTCATCTGGAAAATTTCAGGCCGGTGCTTGGAGACTATCACGTTAGATGTCGCTATTTGTTCGCCCTCGAGAAGCTTGCTACAGGCATTAATGTCTTCATAGAATGCAGGAGAATATATGAATATTAGCCAGTATGTAGCCTCCAGGTCCAACCTGCAGTAGCAGGTTCGATTGAACCGTTGAACCGCTGATAACCAAGGTAGGTATCCGTGTTTTGCTCTCCTCTCGGATACCAATTCACGCCACGCCAAGCGATGATGAAGGCGGGGCAGTCAGTTTTAGCCGAAGTAGGAGTTGCAGGATATATAAAATTTAATTTCAACACCACCCAATCCTGGTCTTATAGTGTAATGGTCAGCACGTCGGATTCTGAAGCTCCTGCTTTCCGGAGATTCCAGTTCAATCCTGGATAAGACCTTCAAAATTTTTTTTTTTCCTTGTTGCTCTCCCTTCTTTTTCTTTTTTCTTTTTTCCCCTCCATTTGGCATTCTATGTACTTTTCTCCTTGTCAAAGATGGAGTGGTCGGGTATCTGGCAGGCATACTCCGTATTGGTCGATGAATAATTTTCACAGACAGCCCGCCAACAACGCCACCGGCCAGCCCAATGGAAATTTGAGCCGGAATACGGAAAAGGGTTCAACCGCGGACGCCGGAGCTTTCACAACTCAACCGGCCGCATGAAAAGTTCTCCAACCTTGTACTTAGGTACTCAAGTTGAATCTTTATTCTTCTGATGGATCGTAATGAGACTTCTCAATTTCAATTCTGTCTTATCTATAGAATCGCTGCCGTGCTCCGCTCATCATCCCCATAGCAGGCTATGGATTCGGTGCAGAGTATCTTCATTCTTCAGTCTCGTCGTCCGTGTCCAAGTTCAAGTCCACCTGTCCAGAGCCTGTACGATCTCCCGATGAATAGCAAATCCCGCATTTGACATCCAAAGTATGTTCTCATAGGCGCTTTGCGGGCCCTCTCCACGATCAAATGCGCTCTTGGCGTCTTCGAGGTACCTACTCATCTTCTTCTCGTATTTGATGCCATTTTTCAGAATGTCGATCCTCTGCTGGAGTAATGCTGACTCCATGTCGAGTTTTCTGCAGATATGGACCCCTTTTGCCACCATCAACTACGAGGGTTGATCGTTTAGTAAAGTGTTCCTTCATAAGATTCTCTTGTGTTGGACTTACTGATATTTTTGCCCTATCGAGCCCAGAAATCTCCAGTTTGCGCTTCTTCAATGGCCGATGTTCGATCTCCGACTCGGAGCCTTCGTCGGCGTCGTCGTCGGCGTCGGCGTTGGCGTCGGCGTTGGCATTGGCATTGGCGTTGGCGTTGGCGTTGGCGTTGGCGTTGGCGTTGGCGTTGGCGTTGGCGTTGGCGTTGGCGTTGGCGTTGGCGTTGGCGTTGGCATTGGCGTTGGCGTTGGCGTTGGCGTCGCCGGAGAACAATTTCCTCGTCATAGATCGCGCCTTCGCCTCGTACGAGCTAGCGACGCTCTCTTCAGATTCGCTGCGCCGCGGCTCGCTCTTGACTTCATCCTCAAGTTCGGACTCGCTGCCCTGGGCGTTGCTGTTGTCCTCCGATTGAACCTCGCTGCCTTGTGCATCTTCGTCCTCGCGTTGCTTCTTGCTCATGATGTCTTCGGCGTCGTCGTCGTGGGTTCCGGACTCGCTGGAGGAGTGTCGCTTGGTTTCCTTGTCGGCCTTGCTATGGCTTTTGCGGTTGCTCTCGACGAAGTTCGAACCGGGTCGACTTTTGGGAAGTCCCATTTTCTTTCGTTCCATTTGACAATTTCCTTGCAGACGAAGATTGGCTGGTACCCGCTCTCAAAAAAGGCAGGGCAATGGGCGTGGGTAGTGGAGGTGATCGGTGACTGAGAAATAGAGAAAGCCATGTGAAAGAGCCAGCAGCTATTCTTTTATGAGCAAAATCTGGACAAGTCACGTGACCAGCTACGAGCTAGTCGCGACCTCACCTCACTCAACCTATTCGCAAGAACCTTTGTGTGGCTTTATATCTCATATATTTAGCAGGTAGCTCACCAGATGAGGTAGCTCACCAGATGTGGTATGAAGGAAACTTTTGCATGAAATTTTCGGTCATATGCCGCGTCGGATTTTTGGTCGCTCAGGAGCTGTCGCAGCCTTTATTATCTAACCTATCAAGAAGTAGAGGAATATTCAATCAGGTTGCCTACCTACAGTGCATCCAAATCGCAGTTAACTGATGGTATAGCAGAACTGAACTGATGGGAACTGACCAATTGCTTGCCTGACCTGAACTGAACTGATGGAACTGAAGGTTGGCAGGTTTTTAGTGTTGAGATTACGATTATTCTAGCTATTGATTAGCTAGCTTTCTGACTAGCCTCCTAGCAAGTCCTATATAATCTCTTTCTTGATCCAATCCTTTTGTAGCTCACAGGCTTTGACAGTATCAGCTCCAAGGCTATTCCGCTCGTCAGTTATCAACTTCTTCGCTTGTGAGAAGGCACGCTCGACTTCGGTACTCATTCCAGGGATAGAGAGCACATCATGTGCAATCTTTGCCATGATAGGATAGTCGGTTTCGTGATCTTTTCACCAATTGATGAGGTTCTCTACGTTCGGGCTTGCTGTCGGATCCTTGAGATAGCGATCGTATTCGGGAGCTTGATCCACCCTCTGCCTCTTCTGTCCTCGAGCGCGATACGAAGAGTTCTTATACGCCAAGTACTTATTCTGTTGGACCAGTTCTTCCTCAGCCTCTTCATCCTCTACTTCGAGATCCTCCTCGTCCGGTTCATGGTCCTTGTAGGCGTTGTATAGCATGAAGAATTGGTCGTGGCAGTTCGTGATCCACACTTGATCGTGTGCCCATTTATCCTCGAAGTAGTGGAATTTATGGCGTGGGTCGAGGATAACTGCGGCTGTATATAAAGCATGTTGTGCAGGATCACGTGATAGCTTGGCACTCGTGTACATAAGCTCGCCAGCCCCCTAGATAGATCAATTCAATCGTCGACCACAACAAAGCAGAATTAGGGAGTAGTTCGAGATACTTGAGAATCTTCGCTTTTGCAGCTTCAAGGCCTTCTCGGTACTGAATCAAATGCAGGCCAGATAGTCCACAAGCTGATAAAGTAGCTATAGCACCGGATACCTCTGTTTGTAGGTAGGCTACCTAGGTATATTGTCGCCAGAATTTGACATCACGCAGGAAGCAATTGTATCAGAATCTGGAGTGCTAGCCACTACACTATACAACCTCAGTTAGTTTGAAGCAAGATTTACATAACTCATATTCATTTTGGCCAGAAGACTGACAGCTGGCAGTGCACGTTTGTGAGGTGTTTAGACATGGGATGCCCAATGAAAAAACACATCGTCGGATGCCTAAAGTATCTACTTATCTTGCTTCAAAATTCCAGCTCTGTCCGAGGGTCAAACCTAGGTGTCAACTTGGTGTTTTGAACATGGTGTTTGAAGGTGGCCTACGCCACAACCTCCTTACGTAATCTCAGAATGGGACCGCGCGCACAGGGGATTCTGTAAGTCTGTAATTCTTCGGACGCTCCAATCATTTTAACAATAGAAAGCTCCGCCATTTAGGAAAACACGTATGACCTAGAGGTATCCGGGAGTACTCCGAGAGTCTCTCATCTCCCCGGTCCTTAGTAAATGGTTAAGTATACTCCCCTGGCACGCGGGAAGAGTCGAGATCCTACCTATCTACTTATCCTTAATCTACTATCCTATGAATTCTAGCACCCACTGTGACCGGAATTAAATTTCAAGGAAATTGAAGCGAGTGTTCCAATTATAATTCTTAAATGTTCTGTATAGTATAACGTACCGTAGGGGGTTTTGAGGCATTGAGGGTTTTGAGGCAGTCTAACCGGAGATAGTAATTTCAAATCCGAATCACATTAAAGCCCTTGAACATCGCGAAGAAAGGCAAGCACTATCCGTGCCAAGGCTGGTGTGACTAATCACACCAGCCTTGGCACGGATAAGGCGAGCTAAGTATTACTTAGTATCTTAGTCACCTGCCTCAAAACCCTTAATGCCTTAATGCCTCAAAACCCCCTAGGTACGGTACGTTAGTGGCTAGCACTCCAGATTCTGATACAAAGCTTCCTGCCTATTGTCAAATTCTGGCGACCCCAGTTCAATCCCCTTAGTAAAAAAGAATTAGTCACCTGAAATGTTCATCTCGAGCCACATCTTTGCGTTTACGTATAGTTGTACTGAGCTGGTTCCCGAATTTGTATCTTCCATGAGATCGATCCTGGTAGATGAAAGGGTAGATAGGTAGGTAGGTACCTACCTACCTACCTACCAGTACATACCTGGGTATCACAGTGGGTGCCAGCATTCATCAGATAGCAGATTAAGGACGAGTGAGATCTCAATGCCTACCGCGCACACTTCTATAGCCATTTACTAAAAGATGAAAAGAGGAGAGACTCTCGAGTCAACCCCGGAGGCCTCGAGGATATACGTGGTTTGCCGAATGGCAGCTTAGGTGCCTCCGAATTGCTACATCTGTCTGCCTCAACTATTGCGAGCTTACTAGATACCTCCTAGCAGTCCGCTCGGAAATTTCCCCTGCGCCGTAAGGCTCCCGCCTGGCAGGCCAACTGACAACTAGGTACCTCAGCAGTATCAACTTTCAAGCTTATCGAGTAACCACACAGCACTCGAACACACACCGCAATGCAAGCCAGTCTGCTACAGGACGCGATACTCGCACAATTAAAACTTCAGCCGACGGGAACATTCCCGGGAAGAATTGCGGACGTCTTCTTTCAGCAAAACTACTAGAATCAGACCATCGTCCAACCCTCGCCGTCCGAGCGGATCAGGAGCGGGAATAAGCAGCTGTGCAAAGTTCAATCTTCCCGTCTCCTGCAAACCGCATGGTTCAACCTAAATGACTTTCACGTGAACGCGCGACGACGTGGCAGCCTGGACCCCCGAGTTTCAGATTCTTGTAGATGGCGCGAGAAATTGAGGAGGGCAGTGTGGGCGAAGCAAGTATAAAAATTTCATATTTCATTCGTACTGCCTTGTCATTGACCTTTTGGATCCCTAGAGAAAAGCTACGGGAGCTACCCTGGAGGGTCTGGCGGCTTTCAAGGACTTCCGGATGGCGCAGCGGTGGTTTGATATCTAATTGCTGAGGGGAGGGGAGTCAAACCATATTCGCAGTTTGCATCCTTCCATCGCATCTCTTTCACGAATCTCACAAATTGTCCTCGAGTCAATTCTCATCTATTCTTCCTTATTGTACGTACCTTTAGGGCTTTGTCGATATCACAAGAAAAATCTCCGACAGGACGATTGCCTGAAAATTATCGACTCACATCTCATGTATTCTTCGTCCATCAGCCCACTATTGGCAAAGTATCAATCATATTCCATTTATTTGAAAG